TTACATATAATTCTTACTTTAAATCTGCTAAATTTTTTCTTTTGACAAAGTTACATTTTTAAATTGTGTCAAAATTGTAATATTTTTATTCGGTCCAAAATGTGTTTTTTTTACCTTTTTTTGATGTATTTATTTGTAAAATTTAATTTAAAGTTAATATATAAATGAAAAAACATCATCGCAACAAAGTTTATATGTAATTTTATATGTTTTTGCTATAAGTTTCTATATATAAAAATTTAAATGTGATATATCGTATAACTGATATATAGACCATAACTATTATTTGTGGCTCAGTTTTACCTATTCTAAGAGTATGTATAATACTGGATCAAGATTCTTGTCTACAATTTTTTTTTAGTTTAAACTTTTTTTTGCTAACTACATTTTAACTCTAGTTTGGCTAAACTCCACTACTCAAACCTACTTCTACCTTTATAAAGCTTATTCAAACTTTAGAATTACTTCACAAGAGTTTATTCAAACTTTAGAATTACTTCACAGTATATCCTCAGTACTTTAGTAATTTTGCTCTTTTTATCCAAACTTTCAATTCAGATAGTCCAGTATATATTATTTATTTTTTTCTAATTTGATAGTGATCTAGTTGATGTTGATGATTTTACTTATTTGTCTAATAGCAGAAATCTCAACCCTGTCATTAGACTTCTAAACTAGATAACCTAATAATTATATACTTTTTTTCTGCAACTAGACAAGTACTCCCAAAGAATAGCTAGTAGGGTTTTTATTATCATCATAATATACTTGCAATTGCAAAAGCTTTCTAGCTAAATTTCTGGTCCTCTTTTTTATTTAAAGTAGCCTAGTTGGTGTAGATATATCCCAATATTTTGTTTTTTGTCTAGTTTAGTTTATATAGATTTTGTTTCTTGAGTCTAACCTTTATATAGCTTTATTAAAATCTGTACTACTCTTTATTCAGAACTTGCTAAGCAGGCTTCTATATTCACAGTTCTTCAGATTTATATAGCCTAAGAACTTATTATAAGTTTGCATTAACTAATACTAGCTTGCATATCTTTATATAATTTATATATTATACAAATATTTTAAATTTTCCAGTTTTGCTAGTATAATCATAATTATATATATCTATTCTAGCTGATTGACCAAATACAGTTAGCTATAATATAAACAAAATTTTTAAATTTTTATTACTAGTAAAATTTAAATTTTTAACCTGCTACTTTGAGGTGATAACTTAGTTACTTCACTATATCACCACACCCCTTCTCTACAACTTTATTTAAAAGCTCATGAGAGATTATCTTAAAAACTTTTTTAAATTTAAAAAAAAATATATATAATTGATACTGTTTAAATATATACTATATTGTACAGACACATCACATAAAATTAGGCTGATCATGATATCTTCGATATTATCATAAATGATAATTGTCTTTTAACAATTGACGTTGTACTTGCGCACTAACAAAAGGCAAACGCCTTTGTTAATAGGTTTATTTAAATGAAAATCGGAATAAAATTTTTGCTTGTACAAACAAATAGGTCGTAATAAAGATCTTACGGAGGCTGAATGCTTTATGGTAGAAAAGCTCAAAAAAGAGGGCATGTCTGCTGCCAAAATTGAATATATTCTTGGTAAATCGGATACTTCTGTTAAAAACTGTCTTAAATGATTACTTTTAACTGATAATTCTAGTTACCTTAAAAGAAAGTCTAGTGGTAGAAAACCACTTGTGAATAAGCATTATAAACGTTTAATTATAAGAAAAGTAAAATCTAACCCTCAATTCGAAGAATGACAAAACATTCTCTTGCTGCAGAATTCCAATCCCCCTATAGCCCCAAGTACCCTGGTAAAAACATTAAAAAAAAATAGCTTTAAATCTTATATTGCATGCAAAAAACCATTCTTAACAAAAAAAGCACAACGCGAACGTTATAATTGGGCCAAGGAACATAAAAATTGGACTAAAGAAAATTGGTGACGTGTTTTATGGACTGACGAATCATCTGTCAGCACTAACTCAAATAGAAAAATTCAAGTTTGGCATTGCAAAGAAGAAGTATATGATCAAAGTTGTACACAAGCAACTGTTAAAAGTGGTCAAAAATCAATTATGGTTTGGGGATGTGTAAATGGATATAATTTACCCCATTTGGTTCGCTGCCCACCACGTATGAATGGTGAAGCATATGGAGAAATTATTGTGGATGCTGTTTATCCCATAATTATGGCTACAGACGATGCAATATTTCAAGAAGACGGAGCAAGAATTCATATAAGTAAACCAGTAAAAAAAATTAAAGCAGAGCTTGGAATTGTGCCTATAAAATGGCCTCCGTATTCTCTGGACCTTAGTCCTATTGAGAATGTTTGGAGAGAAGTTAAATGTTGGATTCATAAGAACCGAAAGCCACGTAATCAACCTGACTTAGAAGAGGCTGTTACTGTGGCATGGAATAATGTTGCATTTGAAACAACTCTTCAGTTTATAGACTCAATGCCAGATAGAGTAAAGGAAGTTATTAAAAAAAAAAGGCTGTGGGATCGGTTGGTGATTATTCATAAAATAATAAAGTAAATTTGAAATATCATAGTGATATCTGATCGGCCTAATTTTGTGTAATGTGTCTGTATAAATATATAATTTTTTAAAAAAAATTTAATAGTAAGATCATGCAAAATTAATTAATTAATTAGTTTTTATAATCTAGCTAGAACAAAATTTGAAATTTTATAAAAAAAATTTTTTATATATTTTAATACAGTAATAAGAAAATTTCTAATTTTCACCAGGGGAAATCACCGCCTAATCATGTGATCACAAGTTACACAAAATTTTATTGTGATGATCAATAAAATATTATATACATATATACCAATGCATATACATGTTAAATTATAAATAGATTAGCGGCACAACCAGATTAGCCCAAATTATGGGTCAGCTTTCATCAGATTTAGGCCAGTATTAAGAAATAACAACAACTGATTATATTATAGCAAAATTATCATCTGGGCAGCTTTACTTAGTGAGTGGGCTATGGTTTCATAGTAAATTTTGAATGATCTTGGGCAAAATTAGTCAACACCGGCCCATTCTGATATATTCTGACCCATAATTCAGACAAATCTGCTGAATTTTGGTTGTGCTGATATTGATAGGTTGGTTATACAAATTCTAGAACATAAGAATATAAAAAATCAAAAAAACACTTATATCCAATATTTTGAATATAAAACTACCATTTACAAGACTATAACAATCCAGCTCTAAACAAATAGCAAAACCTAATACTCACTAAATAGCAAAACCTAACACTAACCGAATAGCAGAACCTAATCCTAACTAAATAGCAAACCCTAACACTAATCAAATATCAGAACCTAATCCTAACAAAAAGCAAAACCTAATACTAACTGAATAGCAGAACTAATCTTAACCAAAAAGTAAAACCTAATCCTAACCTGGTAAACTATAACTATAGGTAGACTAGCAACAAATAAAGTAAGCTAACTATATTCGGGTACGATTGAAGGTGGAGAATCCATTTTTTCTATATGCCGAACTCTACTAAATATCGATACACAAAAAGTATATGTATAACAATAATACTTACCAATCAAATTACTGAATCATTTTAATTAGTAATAAGCAAACGATTAATACCTATTACAGTACTTATCAAACATAATACATACGTATGTATTGTACAAATGTATGTACGTACGTACTATACGTATGTATTCGAATAAATTGACAAAGCATATCAAATTAAAACAAGCGGTATTCTTTTTTCAATTTCGTTGCAGATAGCATATACAATACAATACATAAACCTATACGAAAATAAAACTATGCTACATATGAAATTCTAATTAACACTTATAATTTGCATGTACCCCATTGTGTCTCTTATCTTCATAACTATTAACACTGATTAATTTTATACATTGCTCTATTGTGTCCCTTATTTCTACAATTTTGGCATGTTTTTCTATTGTCTTTGATTTCTTGTTCATTGACAATTTCAGAAGTTTGTAAATTCACTCCTTTTTTAGCATGTTGGTCTTAAACCTCAACACTACTTTTTGCTCTTCTGGGCGGTCGTCCTTTTCATGTGCTAACCACGGGATTCTTAATATTATATTCAATATTATCTGTTATTACATCCATTTGTTGATTTTCTTTGTTCAATATAAATCTATGACAAATACCTATCAATTCATCATATGGGATCTTTGCTAGGAAAATGACCCTCCGAGGCAATATTGATTTTATGAATAGAAATTAAATATGCCGACCATCTAGTCATCCAATTCGAATGATCTTTTTTTATTGTGTAGAGCTCATTTAGCTTCACAAAATAAAAAAAAGTTCACTCAAATTGGATAACTAGATGGTTGGCAAATTTAATTTTTATTCACAAAATCAACATAGCCTCGGAGGGTCATTTTCCTAGCAAAGATCCCATATGAATTTGTCGTGATTGCTATATCAAGTGCTTTTCTCATGATACCTTGTGCTCTACCATACTTCTGCCATGTATTATTGACTTTTCTCAACGTTTGACTATAAACTTCCACACTTCGAACTTGTTTTATATAATCGAATTTATATACTGGAGATTTAGCAACATTTTTATCCGAATTTACATACAAAGTAATTGGAGATTGCTGCCAAATATTATTGCTATTAACGAAATTATCTTTATACCAATGTGTCGCAATAAGCCCAATATGCCATTTAGCCACAGTAGAACAGCGTAAAACCTTATAAAAATGTTGACAAGGATATCCATGAGTTATAATTATATTACATGTACATCGATGAGACCCATCTGTTAACAATATAACGTAATTATTTCTAGTTCCACAAGATATAACTACCTGCCAAATTTCTATAACTTGATCATGTCCGATTGTTGATATAATGTCAGCAAGGCATATTTTTTTGACTTTGTAATTATCTTCTCGTGCTCTCTCAATATTGTTAACATTTACTTGTTTCTATTAAATATGACAAAATATTTAGTATAGTATAAATAAGGGGATCTGATCAACTCACCAACAATCACTACATAGACACCACATTTTACCAACAATTATTCACCAAGTATACCGACAGTTCATTTTACCGAAGCTCATTTCATCGACAAAATAATTCTGGTTATTAACATTAGGATTAGGTTAGAATTATAGTTAAAATTAGTGCAATTTATAAAAAAAAACTTGGTGAAATGAGCTTCGGTGAAATGAACTGCCAGTAAAATAAACTTGTCAGTAAATAATTGTCAGTGAAATGTGGTGTCTATAAAGTGATTGTTGGAGAAATAATACGAACCCATAGATAAGACGTTAAAACAAAGTTAATATCTGATCTGTATAATAAAATCAATAGCTGTGTTATCCATTCGAAAACTATCATAATAGAAGCACTCTTGCATTTGTTTACATACAACAAACACCATTACTGGTAAAAGATATTGCGAAACAATCTTCTCAATAGAATTAAAGTAGGTTTTTGAAATAGTTGGAAGACCGACTGTAGGAATTTGTTCTTTGTATTCCTCAACCCTTGCATATTGTGCTTCTTTATCAAGTAATTCTTGGATTTCCTTTGTTAATTCCAAAAGTGATGAATTTGACCGAACAGAATCATGAATTTTACAATTTAGACTTTCCACCCGTTGAGTGCTATTTGCACCAGCCGTAAACTGATTATTTGTATAGCAGATAGCCCACTTATGTTTAAATGGATCCAATTGTCTCTTAATATAACCATTGATTGATGTATATTTTATTTTTAAACCCTTCCATTGATTTTCAAAAACGCTTAGAACTAATGTATTTCTACACTTAAAAAAAGCCTCACGAAACTTCTTGAATTCTAGTGAATCTAGTTTATTTCTAAGATTTTTTTTTTTAAATTAAAATCAAGGTGGAAAATACATAAACAATGAATGGAATCTGGAAATTCCATGCTTATTGCGCTAATCATCGCTAGATCGGAATCAGTGAATACAACATTTGGTGTTAAATTTCCTGTGCATTTTTTAATCATTTTCAATGCCCAGATAAAGCTACTTTCTGTCTCATCCTCAAGTAATGCAATTGCAACAAGCCATGTTCGATTACAATTGTCGATGATGACAAAGAAACAAGCCATATATTATACTTATTAGTATGAGACGTCGTATCAAAAAAAAGAACATCGTGATAACGAGTCTATAAAATTTGTTGTTCAGAAGACAACCATACTAATCCGCACAATCGATGCTCATCTTTCTCAAATTTTGCCTCTACAAACCAACACGAATCCTTAGCTCGTAGTGAATATAAATGCCTCATAAGATCTGATACATCAAATTCGACCCTTGTTACCAATTTTTTTTTGGCTGCTTGAATTGCATTATAAAGTGCCTTTTGATAAACTTTCCTTTCAGGAAATTTTTCTTTTAAAAGGCGCCTGATACTTTGTGCACTAGTTACACCATAATGTATGCAGAATTCAATAAACTCAACCATCTCATCACCAAGCTTACAATATCTAGCAATATTAGTCACAGGTAAAGGTACTATCGGATGATTATACTCATCCATAATGGTAGTGAAAGTAATCATCGATGTACTTTTTGAAAGATTTGCATTAACCCTCCACTTACAATCTGTTGACCTCGACTGTCGATTTCTTTGATTATTAGGATTCAACACTTTCTTCGCCTGATACTTACCCGCACAACTACACTCCTAGCTAACTTTGCTTAAAATTTTATTATCATTTTCTACTTGAGTTTCAGTTCTTCTTTTCTGAATACTAAAACCCTTCTCTAATCCGTATACATGTAAGAAAGTTTCAACATCGTTCTAGGTATGAAAAGACTGACCTAAAGTATTTTGAAAGAAGAAATATTAAAAATTATTCAATGAAGAGTTATAAATACAGTTAGCCTCTTTAAATACAACCCCCCTAAATGCAACGCCTCTCTAAATATAATCTTAACTCTTGCCCAAACTTATCAAGACCTCTATAAATACAAAATTTTATATTGTTCTCTAAATGCAAGCTAAAAAAAAGTCTAGTCTCTACGCGTTGTATTTAAAGAAATTTGACTGTACTTATCTAAAGTTATTTTAAGCGAAAGAATATCTGATTCTTCAACAGAAGAGTCTGTATCATATATTGGCTCATGATTTATATTATCTGTATCACATATTGGTTCGTGACTTATATCATCTTGATCATTTTCGATTATTACTTCGTTTATTGGTTCGTCAGTTACGGCGCGAGTAGCTTCTGTATAGCTGAATAATTCCATAACTGAAAAAGACATAAAGAATCGTAAGTTAGCATGAAGTTAATTATACCATGTACTTACAACTATTTAAAGGCATACGTATTTTTTATATTCACCTGATCTTATTTTCTTTTGCTTCTGCCTTGAGTTTTAAAGTGCTTACATTGATTGCACTTGCTATCTATCGAGATAAAACCAGAAAATTTTATCTATGTATTCAAGTCCTTTCATGTTACTTGTGCCGATTTATCCGAACGAAAGAGAGGTTCGATTACGCATATGA